GAGTACTCCTACGCATGACCTCAAGGACAGGATAGCCAGCAGATAGTGGCTTCTACCTTGCTCGTCAGCCTCTAGGTCCCTGAGTGCAGGGGAAAGGTGGTAGCTTCTCCACCTCCACCCCCCTTTGGGGTCTTGGTTCCCCGGTCCCCCTTGGGGACGGAGAGTTTGCAGAGACTCGGGGTTGGGTGGGAGAAGCGCGGGGCGGACCGTGGCTGGCCAGTGCTGCAGGCTGGATGGAGTTTACAGGCTGCGGGGAGGCCTATGGACAGGACCCTGAACTGGAACCCTGCGCGTCTATCTCGAACGCTCCAGCCTTTGCCTTAGTTCCTCGTAGCCTCACGCACCATTCCCGCGCCTGTCCTGGGGTCACCTCCCAGAGGGGCACCCCTGGGACAGCCGCCTCCCCTTCCAGAAGCCCCTCCCCTTTGCCGTGCGCATTCCCAGGCGCTCAGCTCGGCCCCCACAGCCTCTGCCTGCCTTGGCCGGCCGCGGGGCAGGGGCACAGTGCAGGGTCGCGCCCGCGCCCGCGGGGGTGCGGGGTCCGCAGATCCAAGTCCGCTGCTCGGAAGCGGCGCTCAGTCCGTGCCGGGCGGGGGCGCTCTTAAGCCGGTTTGGAATTTTTACCCAACGCGCCAGTCGCAGGCCGGGGCAGGGGCGGTGGGGAGTGGGAGCCGCCCCGGGGGCGACGTGGACGCTGCCTGCGGACTCGCGGCGACGAGGGGGCTGTAGATTGAAAACCATGTTTAGAGGCCGACGCAGAGATTTCAGGCCCCCGAGGATTCGGGAGGCGAACGCAGGGACAGTGAGATCGGCGGGAGGAAAATCCGCTAAACCGAACCTTCCGGGAATCGGAAGGGGCCTGGCTGGTCCACGCCCCCTCTCTTCCCCCAGCGGAGGCAAGGCGAGCAATGGGAGGTGCAGTGAGGGATGGCGATCTGCGGTAGGGTCAGTCCTGAGGGCGCGACCACCCTCTCGTCCCCACCCCCTGAAACGCGCGCCCCTGCGGGCTACGCTTTTCACTCGCGGACACGCGCGTCCACACAGGGTCTGACTTCGGGTCAACTTTCACGCTGTTCCCTCTGTGTGTCCACGGCTGTGTCCGCACGCGCGTGCACATCTCCGCCCCAGGGGCCCATCTCCAAACGCCACCATGGGTCCTGAATAATCCTAGACCTTCGGGGGCTTTTGCTCCCCGCGGGGGCCTGGGGCGGGGACAGGGGCGCGCAGACAGGCCCAGAGTAGCTGGCGAGGATGCCTCGGGGTCCCCCACGACTCCCACCGCACGCTTCAACTTCCCCTCCCTCGTCGTCCTCCAGGTACCCCCGGTCCACCGACGTGCGGGAGCGACCCCCACAGCCCGCCCCTCCGGCCGCCCCCTCTCGCGTCCACCGCCCCTCCTCCCTCCCGCTCCAGCTCCTACAGGAAACCTTCCATCACGCTCAGAAAGAATGTGCTACAGTCTCGGCGCTGCCGCGGCCGCCGCCACTGCGCCCGCGCCCGAGCCGGAGCCGCCGCTCCCCCGCCTGCCCGGCCGGCCCCGGGCTCGGAGCGCGCTGTCCCCGCCGCCGCCCCGCGCTCTCCCCGCGCTTGACGCAGTGAGCGCCGCAGCCCGGCTCCCGCCGGCTCCGCTCCGCTCCCCGTCGCAGGCCGAGCCCAGCCCGGCGGGCCCCGGGAGGGGCGGGCAGGGCGCGAGGGGGAGGAGATCTGTCTGGAGCCAGCAAGCCCGGCGGAGGAAGAGGAGGAGGAAGGAGGGGAAGGCGCCGCCGCCGCCGCCGCGCTCCAGGGACCTGGGGGCGCGCGCTCCGCTCGCCCCGGCCGTGCCTCCGGCCCCCGGCCCGCGCCCGGCCCAGGTAGGAAGGGGCTCATGGGGGAGGGGGCTGCGCGAGGCTGCGGGGGCTAGGGGTCTCTTCTGCGGCAGCTTGCGGGGCTGGTTGGTCCCCGCCCCTGGGGGAGGAGGGGAAGATTCCCCACTGGCGGCAGTGGGGGCGGGCACGGGGGTCCCCAGAGGCTCTCGCAGCCTGGGCCACCCAGCCCCACGTCCTACCCCGAGTGTCCGTGCCGGGGCCGAGTACCCCACCCCGGGCTTGGGTTATGCCGTGTGGGGTCCGCGGTTCCCGGTTCCCCCAATCCCCTCGGTTCGGAGGCGGGAGTACCCGAAGTTAGCGGTCGCGGAGAGCCGGTCGGACAAAGTTCCGTCCCGGACGACGCGGCTCGAAGGCCCGGGACCCCGGACCCCTCGGGCTAGGAGGCGCGACGGGGACCCCGAAACTTTCCTGAGCGTTGTGAGCGCGGAGGGCGGTCTGGACAGGGAGCGGAGAGAGGGGTGGTCTTGCTTGCGAGCGCACGATGGTAGCCGCGGCGCCCCAAGTTGGCCCGGAGACTGTCTCCCCAATCTGGGACCCAATCTCGTAGTTGAGGGCGGGCAGGCAGTGGACTCTGGGTGGCTAGTCTCATCTCAGTGGGCGTGGGGGGAGCGGCGCTGCGCCCCGCACGGCGAAGCCCTTGGAGGGGGTGTTGCAGGACACCCTCCCTCCCCCATGTCCGGTCTCCAAGCTCTGCCCGCCGATGCCGAGCTCGCGCGAAGGACCCAGCTCGCGGCTATTAATAGGCGCCTGTGACCAGAGCCTCTCCTGCCCGCCGGGGAAGCTGCGAAGCGGGGCTTGGCCGCGGGGTAGGGGGGGATCCCGGGCTCAGAGCTGTCCCCCTTCCCACCTCTCCTGGTCCCCTTCCTGTCACTCCTCCTTCCTTGCCCCCCTCTGTGCTCCCAATATTTTCTCTCCGGTCTCAGGGTGTCGCCCCCAACTTTTTCTCTTCCCAAACTGCACAGTGTGGCCTGTCCGTCCCATCAATCGGGCGCCCAGGCCAGACCGGATTCGATCACAGTTCCCAGCCGAGTCCTCCTTTACTGAGTGGGTGTGGGGTCCCTGCGGCCAGGCTGCTGGGGATGAGCGGGAACTTCCTCCACCCGCCCTTTCTCCCAAACTGCACACCGGCGCGCGACACGTCCGCCCCTCCATGCCCGCCCCCCTCGCGGGCCGCGGCCACCCCATCTGAGGGCCTGGTTATCGGGGGTCGCCGTGGGAGGGGACCTGGGAAGCTCCTGAGAGCATTTCGGGGTGTAACAACAGCTGCGTGTGCAGAGAGGCAATGCCCTGGTGGCCGCCCTTCCAGCGTCGCCTTCGCGCACCCGAAGGCCCAGGATTCCTTCCCTCCCCTCACCCCGCCCGATCCGATCCGAGCTTGAGTAGATTTGAATATCTGGGGTACGGGAATTCCCGTCTGACCATCAGAGCCAAGCCCCACGGAGCCTGGGGGTCTTCGTCCCCTGGAGCTGGCTGCCGGCCCCGCCCCCTCCGCCAACCCCGGGACCCCGACGCCCTCCAGCGCTCGCGTGCTGCGAGGCAGCCGTCTCCGAGCTGCGGTGAGCGACGTGTCGCGTCCTTTCCCCTGCTCTGGGTCTGGGGGTGGCGCAGGGGGCGTGGGGCGCAGTGTCGGGTCCCTGACAGATGTCCTCGAGGCGGCGGCGAAAGAGTCTGTCAGAGAATTGATGACTTACACGCAGGCCGCCAATCGCCGCGGCCACGGGGGAGGGGCGACCCAGCCGAGGCTGGGGGACGAGGTCGCAGCCGGCTGCGAAGCGTCCTCTCGGGGTGGGGATGCGGCGGGAGGGCCCCGACGCCGGCAGTTCTGCCTTGCCTCTAACCCCCGTGGCTCCAGCTCTGTGCTTCTGTGTCTGCGCCCGGTTGCCGGGACGCTCCCGACGGGACCTCTACGCAGCACCTCCAGTTGACCTCTGGGCCCCTTCGGCAGAGCCCTGACGTTGGGCGTCCGCGTACTTGCCTGGGGAGGAGGTCGGGCAGTGAGAGGCAAGGGCGGTGTGAGGCCTCTGGCCTCGTCGTGCACGCAGCAGAAATGGGCTCATAGTCCTTGGGCCCGGGCAGTAGCCAGCAGATCCTGATGTAACTGGGCAGGCTCTTAGCACAGACGCTGGCACGCAGGAGAGACCGGGCCAACGCCGCCCCATTCAAGACCAAAGCCAGAGAGCTGCTTGGCCAGCGAGAGCCTGGGGAGCCCGCTGGAAAGGGGGGTGGGTCACCACTGGCAGAGGGTGCCTAAAAAAGGCAGCGCTGAGGCCTTGGGTCTCTCCTGGGCGGGGCCCACACTGAATGAGGCAGGAGGAGGTAGGTTGCTTTCTCAGACCTTCCAAGAGTGACCAGCCGCCCCTCTGGGGGAAGACGTTTCTCCCTAGTCAGGCAGGCCCCAGCTGGGGAGGCCCCTTAGCAGGAGGAGAGGGGGGCCCTCTCCTTCAGCTCTGGCCCTCTGTGCCCAGGCCTGGCACACCTGAGGCTGTAGTACCTCGCTGGTGATAAACAAGGGCCTGTCCTTAGCCTGCTGGGCCAGGGGGCCGGGCAGGGGGCAGCCCAAGGAGAAAGGCTTCACTCCGATGTCCCAAATGCCCAGCTGCCTTCTTCCTTCTGCCTCCCCAGACCCTGGGAGCTGTTGTATATTTCCCGCTGGCTGTACCACCCCCCCGCATGGTGTGTAATAAGGGGTACCCCGGTTTTTCTCCTAGCATCCTGGCTATGGCTCTGTACCCATGTACCCACTCTCAAAGGCGCCCCACCCACCAGGCAGGAGGGGGGGCCACTCAGCACTAAATTGCCACATTCGGCCTGGGTCGGTGGGCAGCTCTGAGCCCACTCCTGCTTCCTGGTCAGCCTTCTGTTGGGGGCACGGGCCTGCCAGTCCATATAGGGTTGCTTGGGCTGTGGGCGTTCATTCACATGCCCTCTCCGGTCCCCCACACACTATAGGATTTATCTTGATTTGCTGCCTTTGAATTGAGTCAACTCTTTTGTATGCTCGGTGAATTGCCCAGCTGCTGGCGGGAGCGGAGAGCGTGCAGGGGGTACCGAGGCCGGGAATCAGAGGCGGGCGGGGGACAGGAAGCGGGGAGGGGGCGCGGGCGCCCGCGGGGATGGGCCAGGCTGCGCGGGGACTGGAGCGGCCCTGAGGAGCAGGCGGCCAGGGGCAGCTGGGCTGGCCGAGGGCACTGCCGGGGCCTGCCCGGCCGAGCGAGGAAGGAGGCAGGAGGGGTCGGAGGCTCCGTCCTTGGGGGTCGAGGCTGCCCCTCAGCCTCTGCTTCGGACGGCTGTGTGGCGATGGGCAAGACCCTGGGCCTCTCCTGACTCAGTTTCCTCCCCTGTAACATGCGGAAAGGGGGGCTTCCCCACACGCAGAGTTGTGGAGATCAAACCAAACGGGAAGTGTTCGAGAGGCCCCCGGAGTCATCCCAGAGGTGAGGAGACGGAAAGAAGGGGCCCCAGGGCTGTGGGGGCGGCCCTAGCTGCCCCCCTCAGTGTCTCTCCGAGGGGCCGGACATACGAGCTGCCCGGGTCCTGGGGACGTCTCGGCTTTGCTTAATGTGGTGGGGGTCTTGGGCGGCTCATCCAGGCGACAGCTGTTGCGCACTCCGCCACCAGAATGCCGCCCCCGGCCCCCGCCCCCACTTGATTGTGGGTGGACAGGCCGGGGAGCGGAAGGCGAGGAAACCAGCCCTCCGGCGCTTTCTAGGACCTCCCCCTCCCCTCCCCTACCCTCCCCTCCCCTACCCCTCGGCTCCGCGGCCGGCAGGGAAGGAGCCAGGCGGCTGGGAGGTGGGGCGGGCGGCGGGGGGGCCTCGCAGCCGGACTCGCGCGGGGCGGGTGCGGGCCGGGAGGGAGCGCGCCGGGGAGGGCGTGCGGGGACGGCCCCCCTACCCGAGAGGCGAGGGGCGGGGCCGCGCGCGGATCGATGGGCGAAGCTGGGGAGGAATTTCAATCCCCGGAGCGAAGTTAGAGCTTGAAAGAGCTTGAAGGACGGCGGCGGCGGGCGCAGTCCCGGAACGGCGGCCGGCGGGCAGGTAAGCGCGGAGCCCGCATCCGAGCGGGTCGGGAGCCCTGCTTGAGGGGCGTGGGACTCCGGCCGGCCCGGCGCCCCGCGCGCTCTTCGTGAGCCCCCGGCCCGTGGTGCTCCTGGCGCGCCCTCGGAGCGCGGCGGGCAAACTTAGAGGAACTTGGTGGCGGCGCGGGCGCTCGGTTCCGCTTTGCAGAGAGGGGTCTGGGTCGGGGTCCGGATCCTGCCGTCGCCCCGGTCGCTGCTGCCCTCGCGCAGCTGCCCCTCACCTGGCCCTGCGCCTCCCCCAGCACCTCCCTCCCCTCGTTGGCCCGCTTGGCCGTCCGCAGCCGGCCCTTCATCCCGAGCCGCGGCTCCCTGCCGTCGACCCTCTTTGGGCTTGGGTCCCGGACCCCATCCATGTAGGCCTCACAGCCCCTGCCCTGTCTGCCTTCCGTGCGCGCCTCCCCGCTCGGCCCCGGAGAGGGGCGGTAATTCCGTGCTCCGTGCCTGGAAGCCAAAACCCTGGCGTGAGGGTGGGGCCTTTGCCCTGAACTTGGTGACTGTTCACCCCTACCCCCACCTCGGACCGTTGCCCCAACCTGCCTCTAAAGACAGGGGTCCCCCTTCAATCCTTGAAAATCCGAAGGTCACTCGCTTGCTTCACAGGGTGGGGCCCCCTGCAGGTGTTCCCTCTCCAACACAAACTGACAGCATCTGGCATCAAAATCAGCGTGTTCCAGGCCTCAGTTATGTGACCTTGGGGGCACATGACCTCCTGGAGCCTCAGCTTCCACATCTGTGAAATGGGGGTGTAATGATGTGTGCATTATGGAAGGAAGGCCTCAGTGAAGTCTTAGCACAGGGAGGGCGTCTGGAGGGGCTGGCTGGGGGAGCCATCAGGAGTGGGCATCTGCTCTTCAGCGTCGTGCATCCTGGGCCCTTGCTTGTCTGCAGCTGTGTCTGCCACTCACTCTCTATATTGGGCTGGGGGCTGTGCGTAAAGCATTCCCAGGACCTGAGATCCTTGGAACCAGGAGCCTTCAAAGGGTGCACAGCAAAGAAAGGATAAAGACTCGGACTCCCAAGCCCTGGCTTGTCTTTCTCAGAGATCATCTCCAGAGGCCCCCGGCCTCTGTCCAGCCAGAGAGGTAACAGGGACTTGGTTATTTTAAGCCACAAATACTCTCATCCTTCCTGCCTCACTAGCCCCCTGGCCTTTGCTGCCCTGAGTCCTGGCAGCTTTTATCTTTTAATTGAACAGCAGTTGTGGGGGAGGGGGCAAACTCATAGCCCCTTCCCAGGTTCATGACCAAAAGAGAAGACATACCCAGGGATAGAGGGGTAGACTCCAGCTGGCCAGGCATGACAGAGGGCAAGGCCCAATTTCAGTCTGGATTTAGGGGCACTTTGGTTCCTGGAGGAGGTACAAACAGCTGGCAGGTGGACTCTTCCACCGAGAAGGTGGGGAGCTGGCCTCCCACCCATCAGTGGGACCCTCTCCTGGGACAGCCATGTTGCCCCCAGCCTAACAGGTAGGGTGCTGCTCTGTGGAGTTCAGGATGAGACAGTTCTTGACTCTGGGGATAGAGGGAATGGCACCTCTTCCTGAGGCCTGGCAAACCCGGAGCAGGGGATGGAAGGGATGTGGTGGGTGCCCACCCCCATCACCCCATACCACTCCCTCTGGGAAACTCCGTTACTCAGAGTGCCTTGGGAAGGGGCACCCCACTCCGGACTGGAGAGAGGCTGTTGCTCCCCCACCTCCCTGCATGCCCCCAGAAGAGCCTAGGACAGAGCTTGGACCCAGAGGCCAGCTCTCACCTGGGACTTGAATTTTGGAATGCTGAATATCTCCTATGAGCACCACCTGTTCTGAGAGACATTAGTAGGGCCAAGGAATGGCAGTGATTTGGACCAGTGGAGTAGAATGGGAGCATCTGCCTGGGCCCCACACCTCTGTGTCTCTAACATTCCCTCCCTCCGTCCCTCCCGGCTCTAGGTTTCAGTGGGATCCCTCAGTTCCCTGGGGCCATTACCCCCACCCCGCCTGGCAGACCAGATCCCACTAGCAGGGACCCTGTCCCTGAGGATGCCACAGCAGTGAGGATGAGTAGAGGTGCCTGGACTTGGGATATTCTTACACCTCTGAAGGAGGCACAGAAGCAGGCCTTGTGCATACAGACGGAGGCATAGGAGGAAATGCCAGTGAGTGACAGGCAGGAGATAGATCTCCAGGGCTGGGTGACATGGCCATAAATTTCCAGGCGTGAACCTAGAGTGGATGGTGGTGTAGCTGCAGACACTGGGTGCATTTGTCAATCGCCCCCCTTTTTGTTTTCTGTTGTTAATTCTGATTTCTTCCAATGGAAGCTTGTGTCCACTGGCCTTGGGAGGTTTTCTGTAGGGTGGCTGATGGAGCAGCCCATGTAGGGCACTGAGTCCTGATTCAGAAGGGTCTTTGGTGTATTCCCTCTGCACCCACTGTGCAGATGGGGAGACTGAAGCCAGGAGTGGTGTAAGGTATTGTCCAAGATCTCATGGTGACAGGGCGTTGAGGGGGTGGGGGTGGCCCTGTTCCTATGGGCTGGGTCAGGTCTGGTAACTTGAGCAGGAAGGTGCAACTTCGGCTGCTGGGGATACCTGTTCCCTCTGTGGCCCCCAGCCCATCACTCTGTGCCATCCGGTGACCCCAGAAGTGAGCAAGAGGTGGGGTGGCAGCTGTGGACACTCCTCTCCCCTCCCTTCCCCTCCCCAGGCCTGCCTGCTAGACTGGGCCAGCTGAGACCTGGCTTTGCCAGGCTCTTCTGAGGGAGGAGGAAGGAGGGATGAGAGAGGGTGCTGGGACCCCATGGCCATCTGGGGGCAGGAACTGAGTCTGCCAGCCATTGGAGCTGGAATTGTCCTGAAGGTTTATTCAGCAAACACGGAGGGCCTACTGTGCACACTGCCTGGAACCTGGGGAAAAGACTGCTGAGGCCCTTGGAGTTCATGTCCGAGTGGGGAGACAGGCCCAGAAATATATGTGCACGATCCTTTCCAGTGGAGACCAGCTCACCTTCTAGAAGGGCTCTGCGTTGCTTGAGGTCACACAGCAAGAGTGGTACAGCTCGCCGGAATCCTGGGCACTGGGGCCAGGTGCTTGCCTCCTCCTGCCTGGCCTTGAGCTTGGAGACCAGGAACAGAGGCACAGGGCAGCAGTGGGGGGTGTATGCCAGCTGGGCCTGCCTGCCTTCTTAGGAGGGTTAAGAATGGGCAGCACCTCAGAGAAGACAAATAGGGACTCCGTGGCATCTTACTACACTGATGGACAGTGACTGCAATGGGGTGTGGGGGGAACTTGATAACATGGGTGAATATAGTAACCACAATGTTTTCCATGTGAAACCTTCATAAGAGTGTATGTCAATGATACCTTAAAAAAACAAAAAAAAGAACGGGCTATACCTCAGCTCCCTGCCCTGGCATCTGGGGAATGAGGAAGAACAAGCGTGAAACTGAGTCACTGCCTGGCCCAGCACCTGAGCACCGGGGCCCCTGCCCTCCTTCCCTGGCGGCCTTAGTTCCTTGGCATCTTTGGTCAGTCCTACTTGCAAGGCTCTCCTCCTTTTGGCTGCTCTGCCCCCAGCTCGAAGGAGGGATCTGGCTGGCTCTTCACGGGTGGGCGACCTGGAGGAAGGGGCAAGCATCCAGGCTGGGGGCAGCAGGAGCAGGGGCGGGAAGAGGGGGCAGACCCTGCCCACTGGCCTGCAGTGTCTGTTAGAGGCGCTGGCCCTGGGGACGGACTCCCACAGCCACAGAGCTTGGCCTCCCCATCTGTAATGCCTCAGCACCCCAAAGTGGGCCTGGGTGTAGGGAGAGGCCAGCTGGGCATCCATGGGAAGGGTGAGGAGGGTTGGGGGCAGCCCAGTCCAGCAGCTGCTCCCAGCCATCACTGTGGGTCTGTTGTACTCGATAGGGCCTCCATTTAACAGATGGGGAGACTGAGGCCCAGAGAGGAGAGCCGGAGGAGGGCCCAGCTCAGCCCTGCTCCTGTGCTCTGGCCCTGCACCACGCCCCCAGCCCCACCTAGAGAAAGCAGAGGGTCTTGCCAGAAACCCTCGCCTTATCGATGATGCACTGAGGCCCCATCTGACACTCTTCAGCACGGGGCCAGGGCATACACATGGACTGGCTGGGCTCCGTGTGTGTGCGTCACCCCTGCCCACCTCTGTGCCCTCCAGAAGCACACCTCTCTGCTGTCTACCCCCTCTGATAGCTCCTCTAACAGGGCTGATCCAGTAACAAGCATTTGCAAAGCCCTGGCCGGAGAGCCAACCATGGGCACTAGAGACGTGGGCGGTGTGGCAGAAGGCCTGGGGTCTGCCCCAGAGGTACGAGAGGAGTCTGCCCACCCCAGCCGGGGAAGCGGTGGGGCCCAGTGGA